TTTTCGGAATTTTTTTAATTTTCCTTTGGGGTGGGGGGGGGGGAGGTTATATGTGCATGTGCATGCCTGGAAGTCATCGCAACCTCTGGTGACTGACCCCTACTGGAGGCCTGGAGAATATTCAGAGAGGTGGTTGAATAAAGCCTGCTCCCGCCTCTAGTATTTCAAGGTCTCCCATCCAAGTACTTGTCAGAGTCAGCCCTGCTTAATTTCTGAGATCTGACAGGACTGTGCTTGCTTGGGCTATCCAGGTTGAGGTAGTTAGGTCCCATTCACACGGAGCATTCGCCGCGCTAAAGATACGGATGATAGGCGGATTTTCCGGGCGCGATCACACCGCAACATCTGGGAAGCGTAATGCACCCGTGGCTAACCCATGGCTTCTTGCCAAAGATACAGAGTAAAAAACCAGTACATACGATGTGCTAGTTTCCGGGAAATGTGGGGCAAGGGCAGGAGTCTGATCGCGTTTCCGCTGGAATCCCGTAGCATCCGGCGCCCGCCCATGTCCCGTCGCAAACCGGATGTTTGTTTTTTAAGTCTCCACAGGATGCGCACAAACGCCCACCTGCACATGCGCATACTGTAGTGAGGGGAAAAAATTCCCATTTGCCACAGAAGCGGCGCCTAGCGATTGGCAGTGTCATCACGCCGCACCAGTCAGAAGCGGCGCCTAGTGATTGGCAGTGTCATCACGCAGCCGCAGGATAGCCGTGTGATCGGCACCTAACGGCATACCCACGGGACCTCCACGGGTCATGTGATCGGGCTGCCCCGCGTTACTTTGCTCCTGGGCAAATAGCCAGGCTCCCCCGCCCGCATTTTCCGGCCCGTGTGACCGGGACCTTACTCTTGTAATCCTGGTACCTAGGAGTGGACTTTGGCTCAGGAAGTAGAACTCAGAGCATGTCAAGAGGAGGAGGCAGATGCAGAACCTACAGGTTTTGGCACGGTTGAGCCTACTAGTTTTGGTGGCCTGTGCACTGAAGTCCAATGCAAAAGTGGTCTATTAACACTTTACTTACTGAGATCATGTACATGCTGCCTTTCCAGAGTCCTGCTTGATCTACAGCTTTAAAAACATGGCAGCAGAGGGAGCTGGCCTGAAAACAGCCCCCTCCCTCATCAGCAAAGTTTTGTTATGGGTCATTCCTACTGCTACTAGAGTGGAGACATGCCTCAAAATGTACCCATTCTATGTGGTTGCCATCTACATAAGAAGTCAGGGCCTAAGTTTATAGGTCCATCCTGCAGGAAACGTTTTTCAGTCCTGTCCAGTCATACAAAACGAACATGTGGGAAAAAGGCATATCTCACCTACCACTAAGACCGAGCTGTTTACACAGTCTGTGCACCGAGACCTGAAAATGCATACATCCGTACGTAGGTAAAACCACACACACATTCGGGTGCAGGCGGAGACTGTGCTTTAAGCGACAAATGAGGGTGGAACCCCCTTCCCCTAATTTTAAAAGGATCGTTAAATCTTCGCTCCCAATCAAGGTGGCAGAACTGTGGTTACTGCCTGTTTCCCCCCCAGGCACGCTTATACGTAGGGCGAGGAGGCTCAGTATCCGCATAAAGTAACGGAGAAGGCTCCGTTAGGCGGCCACTCCGGCTTAATTACCGACGTTCAAGGGTGAAATCTTACGTACGTGACGTAACTCTCTTCGTTATTTCTGAGGCTGGGGGAAGGCGCGTGTGAGAAAGAGCGTTTTGGTGAGCGAGAGTAGCTGGGCGGCAGCGAGGGCGTTGCTTCTGTCTCCCCCCCCCCCCCCCCCCCGGGGCGCGGGCGACGCCGCAGGGCAGAGGCTGCTGCTGCTGCTGCTTCCTCCAGTCCCCGCTACTTCTGGAGACAAGCCCGGATACGCGCGTGCTGGTGGGCCTTCGGATAGGGAAGCAGAAGCGGCCCCGGTACAAAATGTGCGCTGGGGGCTCAGCTTGATTCCTCGCCGCCAGGCGACGACTGTGAGGGCCCGCCCCGAAGAGGAGGAGGCGGAGGAGGAGGAAGAAAGGTTGCAGACTGGCTTTGGTCCGCTGGACTCGACTCCCGCCGCTGCTGCGAGGGCGTCCTCTGCCGCCGCCGCCGCCTCTCGCCGCCAGCCCCCGGTGGCCCGGGAGGAACTGAACTGTAGTTGCACAGGAAGTCGCGGCTGCTTGGGAGCACACATACAACACACACGGAGGCAGCTGCCTCTGCCGCACTCCATACGAGAGTCTGCCCGCGCCGGAGCCAGGCGCCGCTACAATAGCAACCCCTCCCGGACCAGCGGCGGCCGCAGTGACCGAGGCAGCGGCCGCCCCAATTGCGCGAGCTGGTAGCCAAGCAGAGGGGGGTGGCCGTGGCCACAGGATTGGAGCTGGAGCACAGCCGCCGGCTACGAGAGGTTCCACCTCTACCGGGGGAAGAGGTGGCTGCAGGTTTGTGGTGCTCGGGCTGGGCTGGGCTGATGCAGGAGGGGCCGTGCAGCTGGTGGCAGATCGGGTTCTCCTGCCGCCCCCCTGAGGAGCCCTTTCATTGTTCCCTCTCGCCTGGCACAGCGTCGGCCCTGGCTTGCCCCCTTTGCAGGTGGCGTGTGCTGAGCTCAGCCTCTCCTTTATTCCCTCTCGCTTTCTCTCTGCTGCAGCCCCTTTCGTATGGTCTCCACTCCCTCCCCTTTGCATCCCTCTTTCGCATGCTGCCAACTTCTCTTTGCACACGCCCCTTCCCTTCTGCATGTGTAACCTTAATGGATGAGTCTAATTTTTCCCTCCCCCATTACACTGCATTGTGAGAGCGACTGTCTCTACTGCTGTGCACACGAGTAGCGTCCCACCCGCCCACAGTGTAGTCCATTCTCCTAACGCTTCAGTACCGAGGAAGCGACCAAAGATCTTCCTTTTCGTTTGTCGTGGTGTGTGTACGTACTTCGGGTCCCCTTTATTTTGACATCTGTCGAGGGCTTGCCTTGCATGAGTGAATCTGCTCTGGTCTCCACACCTACACCCTTGTCCTACAGTTATTCATCGTCTCTTGAAGAAGGCTGCAAAGCTCTAGGTTTGCTTTCTGTTCCCGCAGCATTACTGCTTTAAGTGTATCTGTTTCTGCTGGGGGTTGGAGGGAAGGAGGCGCTGTCTGGCTGTGGACGGGGCTCCCTTTAGACCTTGCTCCGACCCATGGCTTTTAGTCCTCCCTTTAAGTTTGTATGAAGGGATCTGCCCTGTGTACAAAATGTCCGCAGACATTTTTCTTCTATAGGAAGGTGAAGGCCCACTCCAGTAATTCAACATACCTTTTGCCTTCTCTGGAAGCATGCAGAGAATGGCAGCGTGAGAGCGATTTGCTTGGTTTGGTTTAATGAATAAACCTGTTGGGGTGACTTGTATGTAAACACAGAAGGGCAGGGCGGGTGGGATCTTAAGGCTAAGATGTTTTATTTACTAAGCTAGGAAGACTGCACTGTTCTCTCCTTATTGAGTACACAAAACTCTTCTTGGCCAAAATCCTGTCATACAAAGTGTGGTGTGAGTTTTTCTCAGACACCTGATACGTAGCAGTTGCCCAGTTTGTGATTCCCTGACTGGTCTATCCTAGCTTATTCACTGTATTATTCTGCCAAGTTATAAGGATAATTTTTATTCTATACATCAAGTACAGATGTATGATAAAATGATTGTTCCTAACCTAACACCTGTACTTTGAAGTGTAATGAAATGGATTCTCAAGCCATTATGTTTATGCAGAACAATGTTGCTAATTCAGTAGGCCTAAATGCCATGTCCTCAAGCTAGCAACTTGACCAGTAAGTATATATATCTTTGTTTTAAGGTCCATCTCTCTGTCCATTTAAGTATAGCACATTTTCCTCTTTTGATTATTATTTTCAAGGAGGCTTGTAGTAAATGTAGATAGTTACTTACCTTGTCTATGAGCAGCATATGCTTATGTATGCCACATCTACTGTGTTTCAGCTGAAATGATTTTTTTATTAACATATCCACTACAGGAGGCGTGCAGTCTGTCTGAATGTTCCATTTGCCTCAGTCATTTATGCCATGGCAGCCTTGTGGCATATTTCATCTTACTATGGCAGCTGTATTGATGGGATGTGCAGTGGTTTCCCAGGAGAGCAACTTGCCCAAATCACTGTAAAAGCAGCCCTGGGATATTACAGGTATTAGCCACTTTGTGGGAAATGTGCCATTCTTGGCTGCAAGATTATGTTCTCATCCTGTCCAAGAAGAGACACAGACAAAGCTGCTTCTTTTGTTGTTTTAAGGTCTCATAAATGGCTGATGAAGTGGTAAACCTGTCAACATTATCATTTTAGAATGCTAGATGGTGACTTTTCATGATTAAGCAATCTCCAATACAAAATACTTCTTTGTTCATTGGATTCTAACCAAGTCTCATGTGTGACTCTGTAGGGGAGATATCCACCAGGAGAGCAGTTGGAAGGGCTGCAGACAAGAAAGGCTTACCAGTGCTAGGTCAAATTAGACTTGGCATAGTTGGGATCTCTCACAACTTTTATGATGTCCCAGTTGGTTAGTTAAATCTTGTGAGGATGAGTCCTCTGTCTAATATTATCAACTCTTCACAGTGAGGGGAATTTCCTAAGGCCTCTGAAGAAGGTTCTATTTGACCTTTATTGGAAAAATCCCTCCCTTGATAGAAAATTATGACCAACAATAGGCCTAGGTCAAATTTGTTGTTTTTAGGAAAAGTGACTGGAAGAGTGATGGTAGAATAACTGCAGCTCTTTCTTGTTTGACAAATCTGTCCTTGATTAGTTTCAGTCTAGTTTTGTACTGCATTTGTAGCCTTGTGGACAATCTCTGCTTAAGGGTGATAAGGGAAATATGTTTGTTCCTTCCAGTGCCTTTTTTTAATTAGGGGAACACGGAGACAGTTGCAGATGATTAAGTCAGTGATGTGGGATCTATCTTGTTGGGCTACACAGTGGTACATGGCTGTTTAATTTGTATGTTAGAACTTTGAAGGAGGTTGCTTAGTGCTTCTGGGTCCATGTCATCAGTGTGTCATTGGTATGTGGATGACACCAACCCAGCTCTATTTTTCCTTGAATAAGTCACCAAAGTCGTAGTTTATGTTCTGGGTCAGTGCCTACGTACTATCAGGCGGCTCTGGGATAACAGGTTAATTTTGAGTCCAGAAAAGGCAGAGTTTTGGAGGAAGTTGCATTGCCACTCTAGATGGCGTAGTGCTTAAGCTGAAAACCTTAGGAATTTAATTAGATCCTGCTCTCCTGTTGAAGGAGTGGGTTAATATAGTTGCAAAAAGTTGTTTTTTTAAAACAGCAGAAGTCCCTATCTAGACTCTGCTGAGCTGGCCACATTAATCCATGCCTCCATAACTTTGAGGCTGGATAACTGCAATGTGCTTTTCGTGGGGCTGCCTTTGAATACTATTCAGAAGCTTTATGTGCTACAAAATGTAGTTAACTTTACTAACTAGAGTTTGGATATATGAACATATTGTCCCAATTTTAAGTGATCTTTGTTGGGTGACTACTTGCTTCCAGGTCAGATTCAAGGTGCTGGTTCTTATCTATAAGGGTCCACTACACTGGTTGGGAATCACATACTTGAATGACTATCTCTCCCAATAGGACTCTGTGCAGCAAGTTAGATCCTGCCGTGACTCTTGAGTATCCCATCCTGAAGGTCATTAAATGAGCCATGGCTCAAGCTTATTGTTACTTCGATGTGGCACCTGTTCTGGAACAGCAACCCAGAGGAGGTCAGGAGGCAGAATTCCAGAAGCATTGTAAAGCCACCTTGTTCAAATAGGCATTTGTGGACCATTGAATTGAGCTGAATCAATGTTTGTGTAGTAGAGTACATGCCGCAGATAAGGATTTAGGGCTACTTATGTCTCTGGTTTTTTATTTATAATGTCTTAGTATGTTTTTACAGTATAGCTTGCATCTGTAAGACACCTTGAGCCACAGTTTGGTGGGAAAAGTAGGATATAAATATTCTGATAAAATAAAGTCTTTCTTGACTTTCATCTACAGTTCATGAGAAATAGTCCTCAGTGATCAGTCACAGGATTTCACTTTCTTTGTATGCACCTTTATCAGTAGAAGCTGGATAGAAACGAGATCCATATGCTCAGTTTGATTTATTATTTAGTGTAGCTTTTTTGTCTTACCATGACACGTTAAAAGCTGGAAATGTAGTAATTACATTTTACCCCACCACCATGAACTTGCACAGTGGGTGAATTTAAAGAGAGTGTACACAACAATATGACCTACTTTTGCCAGATATTTAGCATGCACACCTTAATGTTCAAGTGACTTCTGTTGAATAAAGTGAAATATTCTGTTTTCATATTTGTTTGTGATGGTGATATACATGTACTGCATATCCATTTTGGAATTAAAGATATCTATCTTGGCCTTTCAAGCATGTATTAGGTCAAATTATTATGAAATTTGGTATCTATTTTTTACTTTTTATTTATTTATTTGGTTTATACCCCGCCCTCCCTGCTGGAGCCGGCTCAGGGCGGCTTATGTAAAAGAATAAAAACACACAAGTAAGCAATTTACCTAAAACCATATAAAACACTCCAACATTAAAAGGTGCTAGACATTAAATAGTACTAATACATTAATATTATTAGATGGTGGCGGCCAACCTTCAGTAATCTAACCTAGTCGTCAGCCCATAGATCTAATCTTTTTGGCACAGGCTGTTCTGATGACTCCAGGGGCAGGGTTCTCTGCCATTCCAGCTATTGAACAATTTGATACCTGTTACCTGGTGTGACGAACTGCACTTTTAAAAGCTTAGAAGTGTTGTGTAAACAGATAAAGGACTGTGAAGGGTTAATTCTTCACAGAGCCACCTTGAGTCACAAGCTGTTCCAAGAGATCTGATTGGTTAGCATCAGCTGTGCAGAGAAACACTTCTGAACTGCATGCTGAGGAGAGATGCAGTCTGATTTCAGCCCTAGCTGAGAAGAGTCAAGTACTGACAGTTTTGGAATTCAACCTTAGCTGAGAGCAGTTTTAACACAGACAGGAGAATTGGGGAAAGTTAGCAAGGATGAGTGGGTAGTTAAATGGAGACTCCCATTTGGGCCAAAGAAAGGGGATAGATCTTCTCATGTGAGGTGAATTTCCCTACCCTGTCAAACAGGGAGTTAGCTCTGAAGAGTGCAGAGATTCCTGGTCAGGGTGGTTCGAAACTGCCTTTAGAGACCTTAAGTCAGTTAAAAACTCAAGATATCTACTGGTGTTTTGAGAGGGTTTTGGGTACTAAAGAGTGTACCAGCCTTCTGGAAACCAAAGGAGTCAGAGAATACTCAAAGAAAGTGTGCTGGAGTGTCTGGAAAACACTGGAACAAAAACCTCTCAACATTAATATTGAAATCACTGTGAAAAGCTTAAGAAACTCTCATTAGCCGG